CCTGCTTAAAGAACAAAAGAACTGATACTAAACTAGTTAAAATATATAAATAAAAACTGACTAAAAATGCTGAATTAATATCTGATCCATATCTGAACGATTATGGATTCTGGAGAACTGAACAGTAATTCTTAGCAACGAAAAGTGATAAACAGAATAATCAAGACAACACGCCACTAGATTTGTTTTCCGTTAACAAATGGTTACTGAAACTGCTGCAATTCTGTGCTGACAAGAACCACTTTTTCAGGTTTATGAGACGGTTCCAAAAAGAACGGTTTAAATTGACAAACGGCTGCAGATGGATAGATCGCTCGACGGTGTCGCATCGGTTCTGTACCGTTGCGAACCGCTTTTTCGAGTTTATGAGACGGTTCCAAAAACAACCGGTTAAATCTGCTAGCTGTAACTACGGTTCCAGGTTACACGTTTGTAACAACGTTATTTTAGCGGTTACGTTAAATACCGCCCATCCCTACTTTTAACATCATTAACATGCAAGCAAATTTGTTGAACGTAAAGGAGTTTTTGCCGAATTTGCCAACTCGTCCAAGTTAACAGTGTATATACAGGGCGATTCAATTATAATCTGCGAGAATTTAAGAGCAAATTCTGCAGAAAATTAACCCGAATTTAACTTTTCACTTCTTAACAACGCCGGGTATAAAAACGAAACTCAGTTTACGTTTATAGTTTTACAGGCTTAACAATTCTAGGTGCACGCCATTTAGTAAAACTTACCAGGGGCAATACCGGGGGCGTTTAAAAACTTTGACAGGTCGTCACTTTTTACACAATAGCTTTAATGCATTCTGAGAAACGTTTTCTTAAACCACATAGTTTTTCAGGAAGAAAGTGCATCTTAAGACTTTTGAAAAACTCAACAGTTTTCGAATTATTTCAAATTTCCCATCAACACATCAACCACGTAAAAACCTCTGAAGACTCAAGTTTTAATAATTTAATAATAAGCGAAGAAAATTGTTTGTTACGCCACTGGATAGAGTGGGCTTGAATAAATTCCACAAAGAGCAGCTCAGTGGCGCTTTTTCCCGATTTTTCCGCGAAACATTTTGTGGCAACTTGAACATTTTTTTTCGAGGAAACCAAATGGGCTCAAAAAATGTTCGTCCGGCAACTACATAGAGCACACTTGACTATTTAATTATAAAAAGTGCAGTTCAAAAGCGCATTTTGCAGATTTTTGCGGCTCTGGCGAGTGCACTTGTGACTCCAACCTCTTAACAAAGTGATTTTCAATATTTTTTGCCGCAAACCGAACGAGAGGCAAAAGCTGCTGTTTTAAATCTGAACAGAGCATACATAACTGTATTTAAACCGAAAAAAGCAATTTACTTGTGCTTGTGTCTGATTTTTTGCAACATTTTTTGCTTTCAATTTAGGCAATTCCCCAAAGTCACCTCTTAAAAACGTTCGACTTGGCAGTTTTTGAGCCTTCCTGGTACCGCTTCTAGCAAGTTTTTCAAAATCGATCATCCCTAGGTTTATTAGGCTGGGAGTCTTAAACCGAATATCGAATTGCATCCCTCTATCTCTTGTCGTTTGTAAATCAAAGGGTAAAAACTTGTTGAGGGAGTGAACTTTAATTTTTTTTGGTGTAGGTACATGAGTTTTTGTTAACAATTTTGGATGAGTCCCCTTAAAGTTTAGCAGATCTTCAGTTGAGTCGTCAGAGTTGAAGTTGGGGATGCAAAAAAGCTGCGATTTTAAGATTAAATGTCCGATTAAATGAATAAATATGTTCCGCGTATACGATGTGTCTGATAAATGAAAAAAGAGAAACCATTATGGAACAGTGTGTGTTTACAATCGATTAAGTGCCGACAGAAATCCGGACAAGAAAATAAGACGACAGCCGAAAACTCATAAAAATTTCCCGGAGTTACCGGCTTTCCTGCTGCAGTCGAGTTTGCGATTTCAGCTTTATTTCATAAAAGTTGATGCTTGTTTGACGCAGCAGATTGATTTCGTGGGCTCCATGTGAATCCATTTCGTTCACTGCAAACAAAACATGATTTTGTTGTTCATCTTAAATAATTAAAAATAATAAACATGCACTCGTACACTTGCTGAAAACGATCGGTGAAGCAAAGAATGGCATGTTTTTCTAACAAACTAAAACTTCTGTTTTGAAGCCCCCAGTTAAATTTCCGCAGTTTAACGGTGCGAAAATTGCATGACGGCTATTCACCCTTACGCAGTGGGATAAACAACTCCAGCACTAAATTGTCCAATGGAGAATTGTTAACAAGTGCTTAATTTAATAGCAACATTTTTTGGAGCCCCGAGTGTATTTTACGCCACTAATCGATTATTTGCGCTGTGTTTCATCAGGCATTCATTCGGGTCGTAAAATACACGCGTTATGGATGTTCATAATGATTGATTCGTTGTTGTTGGAGTTTCCAATTGGAACTTGCGAATTCCAAAAATGCCCCTTTTATCAAACACACGTCCTTTGCATTATTTGGACTGGTTCCATTACGTTGTATTAAATAGAGTGGAAAATAAATCGGCCCGAACTGTATCACAATAATAATAATTCAAAAGTTTCATCTTCAAGACCATTTGTTAGTGTACGAATGCACTCTGGTATTGTCTGAACTACTCGCTTCCTCTGCTAATCTAGACAGATGATACTTGTAGGTTTTCACTTGAACATGAAGAATGTAAAAGAGTGGCGCTGCTCCAACTCCTGACCCATTTAGATGACAAAAACAGCGAAAAATTGGGGGTTTTGTGAAGTTATTCGGAATCTAAGCATCTACAACCCAACTATCTGCCAACTTTCAACTAAATTGCCAGTCAGCTAATTAAAACTTTGACGAAAGTCGGCGATGTAAACGCTTTCTTCTGGTCGTTTTATATCGAAGTTTTCCGCGAAGCTGGAAAATAATTCCTATTTTAAAATATCGACAAAGTTCCAGGTAGCTGATGAACTAGTTAAAAAGCTATTCGAAACCGGCATTGTCTTCTTAACTGAAAAGAACCATGMATTTTTCATYGGAGGTAAATTGGAAAWTGTCCTGAATGTTTCAAAGAATCGGGCATTTGCTTGCAGTGCTTGAAGCTCGTGACTTTTTTAGGATTCCAGGCAACTAGWTTTTTRCTAACGTTTCGCAAGCACGAGTTGCGTGCATYTTCAATTTTGACTACTACGTATCTATCAAGCAACGATCGTATAATGATACTTGTGACTTTTTTTTTGGCAAATTGATTTTCATTATTTTTTTSCGAGCAAACCAAATGAGCTGCAAACGTCGCTGTTGCGCCTCTAGATAGAGCGCACTTTGTGCTCTAAAGGASACAARGTCCAGCTCATTGACGWTTTTTTCCGATTGTGTACGAATTTTTACTCAAACGAGTGCACTTGTGGTAASCGGTGAAACTTTTGGCCAAGTAATTTTGAATAMATTTTTCCAAGAAAACCAGWTGGTCTCTAAACCTGCTTGTCCGGCCATTCAATGGAGAGCCCGTGACTCTATTAATGGGACCAAATGCAATTTAATGAGGCTTTTTGCTGATTTTTTGCAAAATTTTAAGCAGGGAACTTGCACGTGTGACCTCTACCCGAAACTATTTGCAATGCGATTTTGGCTATTTTTTCCGAGAAAACCAACTGCGCTGCAAAAATCGTTGATGCGCTACGGGATAGAGCAGGCCCGACTCTTAAAGTTGCACAAACGGTAAATCAGTGGCGCTTCTTTCGCATTTTGCACGAATTATTTACGTGAGAGGGTAGATTAATGACTATCGGCGGGCTCTGGGCAAAGTCATTTTAAATAATTTTTTGCAAAAAAACCAAATGAGGTCAAAACGTGTTTGTCAGGTCGCTGGATAGAGCACACCTGAGTATATTTATGGTATAAATTTCAGTTAAATTCTGGGTTTTTCCTATTTTTTGCACAATTTTAGATAGAAAAGTTGCACTTGTGGATTCACTGGAAATTCTCCGCCCAGTGGTTTTGAATAATTTTTCTGAGCAAAGCAAGCAAGGCAGGAAAGCGTTTGTTCAGACTCTGAATAGAGCATGAATAACTCTATTCACACTGCCACATGCAAGTCACTGGCGTTTTTTTGTGATCTTTTGCTAATTTTTGAACAGGCGGGTGCCCCTTTGACTACCGGCGAAACTTTTAGCAGTCATTTTGAATTCTGATTTATTTTCCTGACTGCATGTACTTGTTATGATATTTTGATCTTTCCTGGGTCTCAGTCAAAGTGTGAAGTAAAAATGTTAAACTTCGTTTATTTCATTACGTTTCGGCGAGACATCAGCGCCATCATCAGATTTAAAATTTACAAAAACTCATGATTAGTAAACATCAACGTTGATTTAGGTCTCTGTCTTGTTGAAACCTTAAATTTGTTTTGAAACATTGTTTATTTTATTACGTTTCGGCGAGACAACAGCGCCATCATCAGATTTAAAATTTATACAAACTCATGATTGGTAAAAATCAACGTTCTTTTAGGTCTTTGCCTTCTTGAAACCTTAAATTTGTC